TTCTTGGGATCATTGATCTGAAGCAAGGAATTGACACCGCCAGGCTTGAAATCAAACTTCTGAATTCCCTTCTCCATAAGCTGGACTCTCCATCTCAAGAACTGAATGCGCTTCTCCTCAATCCCAAATGTCTTCTTGTAGAGCTCCTCATCATCCAAAACTCCAAAAATGTCACCTTGTAACTGTTAAATGCAAATCTGAAGGTTGCCCTCGGAGAATATATGCGTCCAGATTGGCTACCACCTAGCTCATGTGCATCAAGAAAATGAATACCAAGCATACTTGTGAAGGAACTTCGGTAAAAGCTGGTTATAGCGCAACAAGGGTGGAAATATCATCAAGGAAAAGTTGAATCTTTCTCCAAATTCAGTTGAACTACTCGCAGGCATGGCGTGCCAAGGAGATTGCCCGTGAGCAGCTTCAGGGATCTTATAAAGAGGCCTACTGCCAACTACCCTTCTTCTGTCAAAAGATAATGGAAACAAATCCAGGTAGTATTGCTACATTCGCGACAAAGGAGGACTCCAGCTTCCACAAGCTCTTCGTCTCGTTTCATGCATCAATATCTGGTTTTCAGCAAGGTTGTCGGCCTCTTATTTTCCTTGACAGCACTCTTCTGTACTCAACGTATCAAGGCACATTGTTGGCTGCAACATCTGCAGATGAGAATAATAGTGTCTTTCTAGTAGCCTTTGCTGTTGTTGATGAAGAGACTGACGAAAATTGGCATTGGTTTCTGTCAGAACTCAAGTCTGCTGTCTCAACATCCAGGCAAATCACATTTATTGCTGATTCCCAGAAAGGAATAAGAGAGTCATTACGCGATATATTTGGTGAAGCCTGCTATCATGGTTATTGCCTATACTATCTGGCTGAGAAACTGAATAGAGATTTGAAGGGGCAATTTTCACATGAAGCAAGACGACTCATGGTCTAGGATTTGTCTGCTACTGCCTATGCACCAAAACTTGAGGCATTTGAACGCTGTGCAGAATACATAAAGGCCATCTACTTCTTGTATTCTTCATTTCACCTTCCTTTTTTGGTGACTCCTTTGGAGCCTCTTTAGCCACTTCTTTCTTAAAGAGCTTGTTCCCTAAAATGGTTTCTTCCAGCTTCGATCTCAAATCATTCAAAGCCTTTTTCTCAAACTCTTTGAGATCAGAAGGGAAATTACTTTCTTCCCTATAAGAAGAACTCTTCTCAACCATCTTCCCTTCTTTGCATTCATCACCATCAATCACATCCTTCACTTGCTACACTTTCTCCATCTCCTTTTCTTCCTTCAAAACCCCTTCCTTTGTAACAGCCACTTCAGCCACCGCCTGAGTTGCCTCTGATTTCTCCTCAAAAGTCATGGTAACAATGCCTAAAATGAACGCAAAAACACCAAAAAAAAGAACAAAATCGTTCAATAAATTAATCAATTACAAACCAAATACGTAAATTAAAGAAAGCCCAACTCACTTTTACTTCTGATTTTGTTGAATTTCTATCACAAACTCTCTTCTTGCTTCTCCAATATCCACTGCTGGTTCTTCTTTGGCCCTCTGAAAAGTTGAGAAAAGGAAATCAAGAATGGTTCGAGAGGAAGGGGAAGAGGGAGGGGGGAATTTTACTTATGATTTGCCACTTTTACCCTTTAAAAATTGGGCATTGCATGTGGACCCAATGAGTTCCAGCCAAAATTTGTTCGGAAAAGTGAGAAGGGACTAAAGGTGATATTTTTTGTTTTTTTAGGGATTAAAATTGATCATTTTTATTTTGAGGGACTAAATTTTCACATTTGTGATATGTGAGGGACGATTGGTGTAATTTTTCTATTAAAAAAAGTTGGAGGTGCCATCTACCATGGTTAGTAAATATGGTACATGTATCATATGTATTTATATAACATTACTTTTTTTTCCAAAAATAAGATTAAAAATTCAGCGCAAAATATGAGTTTGTCAAAATTACGCATAAAAATTTGGATGTTATAAAACTAAAAGTATGAGTAAAACTGCTACAATTTTTGCAAGATCATGATATATTTAATGTGGGAAAATGCATTTTTCATCCTCAAAAGTTGGGTTGATGACTAATTTCGGCCTCAAAGTTTCATCAAGAATACATTTCATCCTCAAAGTTCCTGAATTTTTGCCAATTAGAGACAATTGACAGAATAACAATCAATTTGGACGGAATGCGGCACGTGAGAAGCATGCTCTGTTAGAACCAATAAAAAAAGGATAAAACTCGTTCGGAAGTGCAGACACCAGTGTTATAACTTTTGAATTCTAAAATTTGTATCTTTACATTATTTTGTTTATGGTCCATATTCGGTAGGAACCATGTTAAGGACCACTTGGAATGCATTTTTGACAAGCTTATACCTCTTCTTTTTTGATGGTTTTAGTTGGTTATATTAATTTAATTACAGTATCCAGTTTGGTTGTTACTTCGGATTGTTAAAATTTAAGGCAAAATTCTACCAAAAATTTCCTTCTTACCTTATTGACATGCAAATCAGCATGAAGATAAAAACAGTTGGTGGTTTTTTTATATAATACCCATTTTAGCTTGGAACTGAAAATCATACTCATAAATAACTGGTAATTTTTTCAAATAATGGATGAAAGCAACAAACAGCTGATAGTTTGTAGGAAATAAAAGAAGCTCACAAAGAATCATAAGCACAGCTAGTATTTTTTTCATTTCTAGAGAAGGTTAAAAAAAAAATTATAAAGAGGTGATAATTTTTGGACAAGATAAAAGAAAGGAATAATTCTAGAAACCTGCCCGAGGTTTCTGACAATTTCACTTACCACCCTTAGTTTTGAATAATTACATTAACCTCCATTCATGCAGTAAAATAACTATAATATCTTTCACTTATAGATAATTTCTAAAAAAGCCTACAACTAAAACTAATTTTTCATTTTAAAGCAACAGCTACTATACAAAACCAACTCTTATTCTCTCTCTTCGATGCTCTCTCTTACCTTTTCTCCCCAGTATTTCATAGTTCACATTTTTTTCAGAGTCGTCATCTACACAACCATCTAATACATCCCGAATCCTCAATATTATGGAAATAGATCCTCTTTTTTTTTTTTCCTTTTTTGTAAGTATTATTGAATTGACATTGCTAAATGATAGGTTGTCAAAGCATATTTGCTGTCAAACTAAATAAAAATGAGAAGAATGGTAATGATACAGAATATAAACAAGAAAATAAAAATGATGGCTAAAAAAGAAACATAGATTAAGGAAGATTACACTATTATGCTAATTGTGCAAAAAAAAAAAAAAAGAATTTTGGGATACAAGAACTATAATCAAATTTGCCTAAAGACATAGAATGTAGTCTCTAATGTTGCTTTTAGTTGCTCCATATTGGTATTTTTGGGGGGTTATATTATTTTAGCATCAACAAACTTGCATCCATTTTGATTGAATTTGAATAATGAAATTGGTCAATTTAGATGCAAAATTTAGGCAAAAAAATTGAGGAAAAAGATTAGGTTGAATGCAAATTTTAATTATCATAATTGATTTGCACAGGAATCTTTAAGGCTGCAAAGTTGGGCTTTCGAAATTATGAGAATACGAGGATTAAGTTATGGTGGCTTATTGACTTCGTCAGGGTAGTAGTTATGCGAATTGCAATAGTTGCAATGTGAAAGAAATACATGAGCGAGTTTTCCCCCCTTCTAACTAACAAAGGGGTATTTTAGGATTTTTAGAACAAATTTAGCATAGTGGATTTATATTGTTATTGAAATGCTATAGTAGAGAAGGTAAGTGTAATTTTTTAAATTAGAGAGGACCTACCTGCAATAGCCAAAAACCTCTCCTGACGTTTCTGAAATTATCCCTAAAATTAAAAGTTATAAACAGCTGGTAGTTTCTATACAAAATAAAGTAACAACAACCTACCAGCTTTTTACGGCTTTCCTCTATTTTTGCAAATAGGGTTTCCTCTATTATATATTTTTTTGATAGATAAAAAATTAAATTAAATTAAATTAAATGATTTGGACTAATTTAATGCGTTTGGATAGATACTCAAATCCAAGTCATCTATAATCCATGAATAACTGGATGTCGACCTTTTATGTAAACCTTTTTGCCAGCAAATGACTAGATTTAATGGTTAGAAATTTTTTTAGAACTACAACAAGAAAAAGAGTGGAGAGGACACAAATGAAGTAAGAATAGGTTTTACCTGTTTTTTGTTGAATGCAAAGTTGGTTCTAACGAAGCATGCTTCTTATGTACTGCTTTCCATCCAAATTGAGTATTATTCTGTCAATTGTCCCTAATTGACCAAAATTCAGGAACTTTGAGGATGAAATGTATTTTTGATGAAACTTTGAGGACGAAATTGGTCATCAACCTAACCTTTAAGGATGAAAAGTGCATTTTTTCCTATTTAATGCTACCCTTGACCCTTACCCTTATGCTTTGTTTGAATTGCATTTTTCTGAAATTTTTTGTAGGATTGCATTTTTTCTGGATTTTTTGTAAAAAAATTATTGTAACGATTTGATATATGTGAGATAAAATAGTGATTGAAAAATATGTTTACGAAAAACGTTTAACATCTAATTATGATATCCAAACAAAGCTATTCTTGTGTATCAGATATTAACTTTATTAAAAGTTTAACATCAAATTATGTTACATGTATAAATATATAAAATTATGATATACGTACGTGATATTCCATATATAATTGGAAAGATAGGTTGTCATTGTTACACAAATTTTTAAATCTTTCCAAAATAAATAAGTCTAATTCGCGAAGTATAATAGAAAAAAAGTTTATTATTGTTATTATGTGAAAAGTACATATATTTTTCAGAGTATTTTTTAGATAAAGAAAAAATATTTTGAATTATATCAGACGGGCAGTAGGCCATCATGTACAAAAAAATCTAAACTCGAATGGCTGGAAATCGAGAATTGGAGCTCATTATTATTGTTCACTTGTAGGAAGCTTAAAAGGGAAAAAAAAAAGAAAAGAAAATCCCCATCTTCTTTTTGTTAAACCCATCTCTCGGCTTCTTTTCCTGGAGAGCAGCCGGATTTCCTCCACCACCACCACCAGCCCCCCCCCCCCCCCCCCCCCCAAAAAAAAAGCATCCTCTTTTCCGATCATTCATCAATCATATTCAATTCCTCTTCACTGAAATCGTGGTTGCGGGAGCAAATCACACTAAACAGGGTTAGCCCGGCAAAGTCCGGCGCCGGTTGCATAAAACGGTAGCGTTACCTCCCTCCGACCAACCCAAGAAATTCAAGGGAAAATAAAAAGGAAAATTAAAATCTTGCAAGTTGTATTCACATTTCTAAAGGTATTTTTTAGTGTGACTGCTTGTTTCGTATTCGGGTTTTTTTTTTGTTAGTTTAGTTGCTGAATATTCTTTGAAATATGTGGAAAATGAATGGATAATTTGACTCTGCTGCCACAGTAGATATAGTAATCTGGAAGAAATTTAATTTTTTTTCTCTAGCAGTTATACCGTGCCAATTTGTGTGGCTTTATTGATTTTTCCATGTCAGATATACGTAGTTGATTGTTAATATAAGCGGCGAAAAAAGAAGGGAAAAATAACGTGAATTTTAATCTTTGAAACCCTTTTTATGTTCTTTATATTTATTATGAAATCATATTCCCAATTGTTCTTCTACAGAGAATAACGTTGGCATGATAGAAAATTTTTGATAATGGTTGACATTTATTTTACTGAATTCAATCTAAAAGAAATGGAAGTAAATTATGATACTGAGTTACTTTAGGAGAAAACTTCCAACTTTGAAGGGCATAAACTTGAAGAATGCTGCTATCCTGTGAAAACATTGAACTAGGCTGAGAAGTAGAGGATAAGCGAGATGAATGTTGTCCCAGAACCAGTCATTGGGTGCTCATCTATGACTAGGGAGTGATGGATTATGGATCATGGATTATCTTGTCCGCAATTGTAAGAGCTACTATAGGTGTAAACCAGCTGAAAGTAGGAAGCAGAAGTAAACAACACCAATCCTGTTTATTTGATTCATTATTTTTAATCTGTTAGATGATACTTCTTGATTGAAGTTAAAGGAGATGTTAGGAAATTTTTTCTTTCTTTTTTCCGGCTGAAGACATACGGATCCCTAATTGAGTGGAAGGATCACTATTTAAATGAATATAGGTAGATAAAAACACATGTTATTAGTGTCTAAATGTAAAAAACAAGATTGATTTCCATATTTTATTTTTTCCAGGTTTGTGATAGGAACCTTCTGAAGTGTTGAGAAGATAATGCATCCCCCGCTAACATTACACAGGCACCCAATGTGTGCAGAAGTAAGTCCTGTTTTGCCTCCTTTTAATAATTGCTTTGTCTAGTTCTTTCTCATTTTAAACTATAAGTTTGTTGATGTTTTACTGTCTTCTATTTGGTGATGAATGATACCTTTACATAATATCAAGCGCATTCCTTGTATGGAGTTGAATTGAATGAGGTATATTATGAACTTTATTTTGTTCATGCCTGTTGTGTGGTCAGTGTTAACTCAGCGCTGAATACCTGAAAATGCAAGAATCCTATTATTGTAAGCTCCTTTTCATGTTTAAACATTCAAATCTTGGATTATTATCGAATGAAATATGACAATTGAATACTATATTGTAAATTGTTGAAGTTGCTTTGGAATTTTGGTGTTGTTTAATATCTTACTTTGGACTGGATGGGTTTGGACTTTTCTGTTTACTTGGAGTTGAAAAGGATGAGAAATGGTCTTCTTGTGTTTTGACAAAACTGCAGTAGGTTCTATAATTGTTTTCAGCTATACGGACTTATATTGCCTGGATTTTTGTATTCAATTGTAGAGCTGTTGGAGTATGATTAAGTTTGAAGGAATTAAGTTATTCGTGCTGCATGATGCAGATTATTGAACAGTTCCAGAAGTGTCACTCAGATCATCCAATTGGGAAATTTTTTGGTAAATGCACAGAACTCAAAGTAAAGCTTGATCGCTGTTTCAGGCAAGAAGTAAGATTTTGTAACTGGGATATTGATTGCTCTCCTCTGATAGGAACAATGAAGCTTATTTATTACTCTCTATTTGAGATCAAAGCTGCAATACAAGTTTGCAAACATCCCAACCACCCCTCGGATGCTTTGCAATTATTTAAAAAAAAAAAGAAAAAAGAAAGTAAAAGGGTAAGTGATAAAAAAGCTTTAAATATTCATTTGTGATGCTAAAACTTTTGCAGAAAGCTTTGAAACGAAAGGCAAATTTTGAAGAGAGCAAGAAGTTGAAGGAGAGGCTCCAAGCGCACAGGAAAGAACTTGCTGAGAGAAGCCAAGAAGACAAGCTTCATGCAAGCTGAAAAGAGTTAATGGGTCACTGAAGGCTTGATCGAATTCTGCCCTTGCTACTGTGGGATAGATGCATGGAATTGCACTTGGCTGGATACTTAAATGTACACAAAAATAAAATAAAATAAAATAAAAATAAGAAAGAATTACATTGATGTGATGAAGGCATTCTTGAACTTGTATGTATCAGGAGTTCTTGGGATCCATGTCAGGTAGAAATATTCAGGAGGTTCAATGTTAGTAGATGAAGAACTGATTGTGATGTGGGGACAAATAAAATGAAATGTCTTATTTTTGCCTTGCTTGGTGCAGTGGATGACTCAAGACCGGCTACATAGGAACGTGCATATAAATAACCACCTCGCACAAATTTTACGATGAGATTTTATGTATGCATAACTACCAATTATTTGTCTAAAAGATGATGTTAAAATACGTCTGATAGATTTTCTTGAGCATATTTGCCAGTTTCAATGCATTTCCAATTTGAGCGCAAGAATGCCTTGATATTTTATTCATGAGTGCTTAACTCCATTTTTTTTTTTTTTTGTCAAAAGGTCATCACTTAATATATATGTGAGAAAGGTTACAATATTCCTAGCATATACATACTACTGGCACATGGCCAGGACATCTTTGTGGGCTTCAGTCCTAAGCCACACAGGGAAGTCTAGCTCCCACCTTGTTTCATCAATTAGGTTGATGGCAAATTTTGCCAAATCATAATTAGTGCGATTATATTCCCTTCCAATAAATATGAAGGAACATCACCAAAAGGATCGACGAAGATGTACAATATCCTCTACCAACACATCTAATAGAGATAGCCCAAAACATTTGTGATTAATTCTATCCACTAGACCTTTACAATCTGAATGTATGAGCAGAGATGTCCACCTTTCTTCCAGAGCTTTGAGCATGGCTGATCTGATTGCTTCAGCTTCTAATATGGCAGCATCCTTCATATTCCAGTAGGGATTGCCCATGTTTTGACAAGTTTTCCATTATGGTCCTTTGTTGCGATGCCCAATCCCCCTCTACTTCTCTTTTTGTCCATTGCTGCATCTGTGAACATTAGGGTGGCATGTTAATCCTGAAGTTCTTTTGTGATGGTCAGCGTTGGTACTTCTGGATCATCTTTTTTCCTTCCATTTTCTCCAAGTCCCACATCTGTTTGTACTCCATCCATTCTTCTAGAGCTCTATTTGAGATCGGTTACCTTTTGTGCTTTCCTTGTTTAAGCTGCAGGCATTCCCTGCTTTCCACAATTGCCACAAGAAGTTTGTTGTGGTTTCTATGTGACTGATGCCGTTAACTCTGCTTCTAGCACCCTGCAATGCTTCCCACCACTTCGAGAAATTCCATTAACTTTCTTGAATACCATTCCATTTGATAGGGAATGTCTTTCAAGCCTCTTCTCTAGCTATACAGTTGAAAAAAAAGTGCTCTAATATTTCTACCTCTTCACCACAGCATTTGCACCACTTGTCCCCTTTGCCAGTTCTTCTATTCACTTCTTCATTGGTAAGTAGGATGTTATGAAAGCATTTCCATAGGAAGTGCTTCAGTTTATGTTTTATGTTTAGATCCCAGACTTGATGCCATAGTGTAGGATCATCCTTCCTTGCGCTGGATCCCTCATTTGGTTGCATCTTATTGGCCCTCTTGCTCATTTTTAATCTGGCTTGAGCATATCCTGACTTGGTGGTGTAATCTCCACTGCTGCTATGCCTCCAAATGAACCTGTCCTGCCTTTCCTAGATACTGAGAGGGATCATTAGTATTTGTTCCACCCCTTCTCTTGAGAAAATGGACTGAATAAGATTATTGTTCCATCTCTTGTTAATGATCAGTTCACAGATTTTGTCTATGTTGCAATTTTGAGGTCTAGCTGATCTTATTAGTCCATTCATACCATCGGGAATCCATCTATCTTTCCAAATTGCAGTTGATCTATCATTCCCTATCTGTCTCCTAAGTTCATCTTCTAGCAAAGAGATTGCACTATGAATGCTCTGCCATATCCACGAGGAACCTGACTTTGCTTTGGCTTGCAAGATAGAGGAGTTCGGAAAATATTTCCCTTTCATTACCATACTAACCAACAACTCAGGATTTGTTAGCAGTCTCCACGCTAGCTTGGCAAGTAAGGCTTCATTGAAGCACTTTATATCACGAAATCCAAGTCGTCGTTTACCTTTGATTTCTGTCAGGTCCCACCATTTTTTCCAATGCATTTTCTTCTTGCCTTGGTTATTTCCCCACCAAAACTTCGCCATCATGCTACTTAATGCTTTGCATAGTCCATCTGAAAGCTTGAAACTGATATGGTATATGATGGTTGAGCTAATGCCACGAATTTGAGAAGAACCTCTTTGCCTGCATTACTTAACATCTTGCCCTTCCATCCTTGCAGCTTGCCAATCATTTTGTCTTTCAGGAACCTGAATGTGTTGTTTTTAGATCTTCCTATAACCATAGGGAGACCCAAATACTTTGCTTGAGAAACATGCTGGACGTTGCCTAGAGTTTGGAGGACATCTTGTTTATTTGCTTGGGAGCTGTTTCTGCTGAAAAGAACTGCTGCTTTCTCAATGTTGATCTTTTGCCCTGAAGCTAGTTCATAGATTTGAAGAATTCTAGTGATCTCACTTGCCTCCTTAGAGTTAGCTTTACAAAAGATTAATGAGTCATCTGCAAAAAACAAGTGGGAGATGGTAGAGCCATTCATGGAGATTTAAATTCCTGTTAACAGATTGTTCCTGCAAGCAGAAGTCAAAAGATTTGCAAGACCTTGGAGTGCTCAACTCCATGGCGGGTACTCCAATGGGCTTAGTGGGTTGTCCACTCAGTTCATGTTAAATTGACTGATTCTTTTCTCTGGGGTGCAAGATTCTTGGACAAAGTGGCTCTTTGGTGCTAGATTGGCTCTTTGGTGCTAGATGGCTGTTTCAAATTTCAGATTGCCCTGCCTATTCAATGCAATGAGGGTTCTTCAAGACTGATTGGGTATCAGCTGGGGGCACAATTAACAACTCGTGTCATCCCCTTTTGCCTACCGAACACCAGAGAAGACAGAATATCAAGCATTCAAAGATTGCATTGCCTCTGATGGTGGAAATGTTGGGCAAGATAACACCTAGGAATCTCCAGATCCGGCAAACAATGCGCGGACTAAACAGTCTGAACCTTGGGGTCCTGGTACTGGTGGTCTGTCATTTAAGGATGCTCTTTTATCTACCACGAGCCTTCCACCAATTTACACAGGCTCAGATGATGAGGATCTAGGTCAACAAATAACTTTGAAGTCATGGAGAAAAGCTCTCATTCTCAAACTGTTGGGGAAAACCATGTCATTCACTTTCCTTTCTCCCGAACTTGTTCAACTTTGGAAGCGCAAATACCCATTGGAGCTTGTTGACCTGAGCATGAACTTCTTTCATGTATGTTTTCGATGCCAAAAAGATTGCTATCTAGTGCTGGAGAAAGGGTCCTAATATATAATGGGAAACTACATAACTATTCAGCCATGGAAACTGAATTTTATGCCTACCCAAAGCTCAACCTTAGTTTGGGCAAAGTTCACTAGTTTACCTGTTGAGTACTATGATGACAGGGTTCTGTTCAAGATTGGAATGCACTTGGAAAGACTGTCAAGGTGGATAAGCGGACGATGGCTATTTTTGCTAGAGTATGTATGATCTCGTTAAGCCTTTATCTCCTTGCATCGGATCAATATGTTTTTACAGGATGTAGAATGTGAAGGCTTGCACATGATTTGCTTCGAATGTGGTAAATCAGGCCACCGGCGAGAGGCCTGTCTATGGATTAGTGACAGGTATATGAAGGAACTAAATGAATGGTAGAAGTACTAGGTGAAGTATGTTTTCTGAATACAAGTAGGGTTGTTTGTCAATTCCTCCTGTCTTGCGCCTTAGGTTCTTGGATGAGCTAGTTTTCTATTTCGGAGTATCTGCTGTTCTGTCTCCTGCTGAATCATTCTGTGCTTATGCTTGTTCAAAGAGCACTGTCAGCGACTGAGTTGCCTCTCCTCATTTTTTGCCTAAGCTTATTTATATGCTTTGTCAATGAAGAAATTCTTAGCATGAGAAAGTGCAAATCTTTAGCTTACTTCACAAGCGCTATCAAGAAATTCGTTAACTTATGGCACGTTTGTAGATCCTGTTGGTCCTAAATCAAATTAATCATATAAGTAACAGTAATTTCTCTAGTAGGATTTAACAAAGAAATTAACAAAATCTCATACCTCAATATTGCAAATAATTTGTACCATCAAAAGTTATTTTGGCATGGGTTGATATGCGAACTAGATTTTAAAATTATTGGATGAACAACTTCTGATTTTCAATCCAACCACCTTGTAATTGACAGCTACTAAAAAGTTCGGTAGGGTTGAGACGAGTAGAACGCTCTCTTTAAAACGATACGCACCCCTACGGTATTTTTTAGAGCGATGCAGAAGGTCTAGCACGCCGCCTCCAGGATACAATAGTCCAACTCTATAGTTGTTGCTTCCCTTTGATCTGCACAACCAAGAGAAGCAGAAACTTTTCAATATCTTAGTTTGCCCAAAGAAAATAGAATGAGAGAGAAAGAAATGAGCGTGAGGAAAATAGTATTTAGAATGATCTTTCGTTAAGAGAAGTGCGTGTCACAAATTTTTCAAAGAATTTCACTATTTATAGGCTACAAAACTTTAAGAAAAAGGGGTTGAAAATGTGTAACGGTTTTTTCCTATTAAATTGTAGTTAATTGGTAGATTTTGTAACCTAAAAAAAATTAATCCACATTTGAATGGGTTATAAAGACTCAATTAATTCCTCATTTGAAACAAATAATTCATTTGTAACTCTAATTCAAATAATTGTATAATAACTCCATTCAAAATGCATTGTAACTCCCACAATTATAATTCACATAACTCCCAAATAAATTATTATAACTCCTTGTAATGAAACTCCCACAATTATAATTCAAAGAACTTCCAAATAAATTATTATAACTCCTTGTAATAATTTGGTCAAGGAAAAAATTAAGATTTTATTAAAATACACCAACATTCCCCCACTTATTTTAATAAAATTTCAGAAAAATAAAGATTTGGACAAGGTGAGAACATCATGCATAATGAAAGTGGCATTGCCTTGAAACCTTCATTTAGTATTTCCATAATCCTCATATTAGAGTCAAAGTGGACTATAGCCTTGAAACTAAGACTACTTTAAGATATATAAAATTATGTCACACACATGATATTCAAGATATTAATTAACAAGCTTTTTAAGCCAGCACATTACGGTCTTGTGCTTTATCCCAGATTCATAAATGCTTTAAAGAATTAGCCAAATTCTCATAAGAAGCGGCCTTTACTTCCACACTCATATAGGTGAGTCTATCAAGAATACCCCTATGACTAAGGCATTCCACCCATAAAGGGCTATAGAATTCATTAAAAGATTTATATCAAATCTTAACCTTTCATTCGTCATAGAATCACGAGCATGCTCTACACCATGGGAAGGGATTTAACAATTTTATAATATATGCATGCTTTTCACCCAAACCATTCTATGATTCGTTTGTCTCTGACCTAGTTCTTGGGAGCTCCAGTCCCTAGGTAGTTGTATCCTCATAAATGGTTCCAATTTAAAATTTTGGCCTCAAGTCCCATTCCCCTTGATGTGTATCATATCTTTGACTCAAGTTTGAGATTTTACACAATAAAATAGCAAAGATATGATATCCCCGAATTTATTTTAAAATAATCTCTCTTAGTGGTTCAGATATATTGAACCAATCTTTGGTGGAAAAATTTTTCATCCATTTATATTTGCCAAATAATATAGGCATATATTTGCTCATATTCAATTTTTCAATTTTATCTCAATGGGCAGCAATCTAGTAGTGCACTAGAAGCCATTCTCAAAATCTTCACGGCTAATTTTGCTTTTGCAAAAATACCAAGAAAATATTTCGAATACCTTCACATTAGATCATACTTTTTAGTGAGTGCTAGTCTACGCAAATCAAAATAAGAGTCAAAATAAATCCAAAAGTTATACTCATAAATTGAGTAATAAAATGATATCATCTTTTTTTTTTTTTCACCACTTCTATTACCGCCGTGTTTTTAAAACCTTGGCATTACGCATCATTTATTGGTCGCCACTAATCTGCACACTCAAACCAAGGAATAAAAAACTCATAATATAATTCTCAAGATAATTTCACAATCAAATTTCAAATTCTGTACCAAGATGGTAAAGTAAATGCATATAGCATTTAAAAGTCACGTTCTATATTAGCCATTGGATTTAGACACCCCCACTATTTATCATAATCAATCCATATCAAGTGACTGGAGTACTGTTCAGTAGCTTTTAACTATCACAAAAATTAACAACCTCCCAAGTTTAAACTTTTTCAACAAACTAAAAGGAATTGTAAAATAGTACTCACTAATTTAAGACTGAAAACAGATGTAACAATTACAATTTTAGGCAACATTACCTTGTGCAAAATCATTGGGAGTATATGCCACAAAACAATCTAATAAAAGATGAAATTTATATTGATAACCAATAAAGTACCGAATATTAGCATAGAGAATACATTGATATTTTTTTTTATAAACACATAGTGGTAAAGCATTAACAAATGATTCATTCAATTCTGCAGATACTATTTAGATATTTATCTACATAGTATTTCAAATTACTCAAGCTATTCTTCAACGTGTCATAGTCATGCACTCAATTGAAGAATGCAATGTTATCATGTAATTACATACCCCTTCTATTTCTAACAATTATTCATTCAAGACTACTCATGGAGTTCATATGTTAAGATAGTGCAGAAATAGTGTTCTAGGTACTCAAAATGATATACACTCAAAGTAGCACATAAGCATAAGAGCCATCTTATTGGCTACAAATCACACATTAACATCAACAAGAAACTTGACTTTTTTTTAATTTTCAAAATCACACACATTCAACAACTAAATAGTTGCAAAGTCATTCATATATTTTGAGATCATCATTGTTTAAAATGAGGCTGTCTATAGACTTGGAAATTGAACTTGACTCCAAGTCATACATGCATTGTGTTTAGTGTATCTCGACTGCAGTTGAATTCAAGTTAATGGCCTACTGGTTTACAATTGTTTGAACTATAATGTCATAAGACTTATACTTTTGCATAGCATTTTTTTTTTTTTTGGCAATCACGTTGAAAACCCAAACCAAGAAAATATTCATATACAAGTCTTTTAGGCATACTTCAAAACTATGAGATCGTACACATTAAAGTAATGAACTTTTAAAATTGAATGCGATTAGGCAATAATAAAATGCATTGCATTCTTTAGTCAATTACTTATTCTTAAAACCTCATCATTAGATTTCATGTGCATAGATAAAACAAGACACATCTAAAATTACTTAGCAATTTCACAACCAGTTCAAAATCTTTGAATATAAAGTTTTTTTTTTTTAAATAGGAGCAAGTAGAGTGGGCATATATTTGCTCACATCAAGCAAAGCCACATTGATTTCCATCATTTCTGTAATCTTCTCAGTGGCTGATAATCTAGTAACCCGCCATTCTCATAATCCTCAATGAATTTTCTTTTGCAAGAAAACTTCATAAGTAATTCAACTCTATCCAAATCAAGCCTCACTTTTTAATTTGCACAACTCAAATTAGAGATTAAGAAAATTCAAAAAATATAATAGTCAATGCACTGTTATGCTTTAATTTCAAAATTCAATTTGCAAGTAATGCAAGCCTTATAATAAAAAATCTCAAAGGTTTCAAAATTCATAACTACCAGCTTAGTCAACATTCACTGTCCGCGTTTCCATCCAAGCATAGTCTCACTATAGTTGTGCTTGGCATGAAAATTAAGTATTCCAGTTTGCATTAAATACAAAGACAACCACATAGCAAATAACATGAAATAATTTAATACAAATCCAAAAGTTGTTGGTTGCCTGCAAATTGATGGCCTTTGACTCGAATACAAATTTTTCAATGTACAATATCACATTTTCAACTCAAAAGTTCATATTCACAATTTTAACAAAATACAAGTCAAGAGAATAGAATTGTTGAGAATTATATGGCTAATAACTTTATATTTCACAGCTTCATGCCACTAAATCTATTATCCATGTATATAATTTTTTCTTGGTGATAGTGTCATCTTTTCTTCATGTATTATCAATACCGTTTATTGCTTGTGAAAATGCAAACCTCAAGCTGGACTAAAACCATATGAATTCAAGACAAAACTAGAGAATTTTAAACCCTCACTATTTAAATATAACTTGAACCCTCATAATTGTAGTTTTTTTTTTTTGATACACCTTGATACCACTATTTTTAAGACAATAACTGGCCACGTTATACATGCATTTCATGAAATATATATCTTTATCACCAAATTAATCATTTATATGTCAATGCCAAAATTTTCAATCGGAATAAATCCGTTAATATAAGAGACATTGAAAGTTCACTATGTAACATGACAACCTCATGCCAAAATAGTTGATTCATACAACATATATTAAAAAATCAAAAAATAGCAAAAAATTATTGTATTTGGTCTACTGATATTCAAAGACATCATGCAAGTATCATGTTTCCCTTAAACAATCAAATACATGACATTCTGTTAATAATAGGCAACTTGGATTCAAAGGTATATATTGCAAATTATTTATAGGTGCATACACAATATTGATACCAGACTCCAAAGCACATAAAACCAATGGATATTATCCTTTCTAGTCTGAGTCTATAATTATGACCATTCACATGAAATATCTTGTTTATTAAAGTTTGTCCTGATTATGTTATGCACCATGTAAGATTCTTATCATCGGGATTATGTTAGTTTTATGATTCGATTATTTAGAAGCAAAACATGCAACGATAACCTTATCTTATGTGAAAAGGCTTATCGTCTTAAAATTGTTCGTCCTAGACCAAATTAATCATATAAGTAACAGTAATTTCTCTAGTAGGATTTAACAAAGAAATTAACAAAATCTCATATCTCAATATTGCAAATAATTTGTACCATCAAAAGTTATTCTGGCATGGGTTGATATGCGAACTAGATTTTAAAATTATTGGATGAACAACTTCTGATTTTCAATCCGTCCACCTTGAAATTGATAGCTACTAAAAAGTTCGGTAGGGCTGAGGCGCGTAGAACGCTCTCTTTAAGACGATACACGTCCTTACGGTATTTTTTAAACCGATGCAGAAAGTCTAGCGTGCCGCCTTCAGGATACAACAGCCCAACTTTATAGTTGTTGCTTCCCTTTGATCTGAACAACCAAGGGAAGCAGAAGCTTCCCAATATCTTACTTTGCCCAAAGAAAATAGAATGAGGGAGAAATAAATGAGTGTGAGGAAAATAGTATTTAGAATGATCTTGAAGTGCGTGTCACAAATTCTCCAAAGAATTTCACTATTTATAGGCTACAAAACCTTAAGAAAAAGGGGTTGAAAATGTGTAACGGTTTTTCCATTTTAAATTGTAGTTAATTAGTAGAATTTGTAACCTAAAAAAAATTAATCCACATTTGAATGGGTTATAAAGACTCAATTAATTCCTCATTTGAAACAAATAATTCATTTGTAACTCTAATTCAAATAATTGTATAATAACTCCATTCAAAACGCATTGTAACTCTCACAATTATAATTTCCATAACTCCCAAATAAATTATTATAACTTCTTGTAATGAAAGTCCCACAATTATAATTCAAATAACTTCCAAATAAATTATTATAACTCCTTGTGATGATTTGGTCAAGGGTGAACTTGCAGAGCAAAAACATGTGCATAAAATAGTCAAATGCATCGATCACAGCCCATAGTGACTGTCTTTGCAAGGCATCCAACTTCATGATTTTTAATCTTCACAAACTTTGAAAGCAGGATTCTTGATTACTTTCTGTGAAGTTGACAACCCTTGAAACATTCTCAGTTTGTTGTCCATTCGAGCGATATTGTACAAATACAGATTACTGTATTTTTCTTATACTAGTTGACAAGTCATTTGATTTGTTGAACAAAGAATAAACACTAATAACGCTTACATAATTCTATTAAATCTTGATATTTTGTGGATTAAAAGCTGATAGAGCGGACTCACTTTTGAAGAACACTTGCTTAAATATTCCATATAATTTTTCATTCAATAGTCAAATCGATAAAAATAAGACCATCACTCGTGCTAATCAAATAGTGAAAGCGTGACTAAACCAAAAAAAAAAAAAAAAATAGTGAAAGCGTGGAGCTACGAAAAAAAAATTTAGGTTCTGTTTGATAACGTAATTCAACACTTAAATTTAATATATTTAGATTTTAACATATTCAGACGCTTTTGATAATAAAAAATTGATCTGAATTGATTAAGTGTTAGTATTATTGAATTTTTTAGATAAAATTTGCTCTAAAAAATAAGTGATAAACTATTCACTTATACACTTAAATTTAAATATATTTGATTTAATATTTAAAAATTTTAAAATTTAAAATATTTAAATTTTACATTTAAATTTTTAAATTTTAATTTTATCAAACACGCCTTTACACTTGGGATCGCAATCTTGTCGTTATCCCTTTGTCTTGATCGGACGGTGTTGATTTCAATAATAATCGCATTTCTTTACTTTGGGTTGAAATCCAACGGTTTTACCTCGCCAGGTGACGACGTGAGACCATAGACTATCCGTTTCCTTTGAGCTGAATCCAACGGTTAGAATTTACCCGGTGACAACATACTTACGGCTTTCCTCTTTGTTTTGGGCTGATCCAACGGCCTGTATATACCCAATGACGATTCCCTGATTTTTAGTCAAAATAAAAGGGCTGGGGCAGGGGGAGTTGGAATAGTACAAAAGGGGTAAACTTGAGAGTGCGTTTGGGATAGGAAATTATGGATAAATTTTGTAAAAACAAATATTATACCACTTATTTAATGTTATATATGTGAAATAAAATTATAGTTGAAGAATGTGTTTATAATACAAATAAATAGATTTGCGCAAATAACAAACTATCTAAACAAATTTGTACCTAGAAGCAAATACATATTTGAGATAATTTTTTCAGAAAAATACTATAACACAATTTTAATATAATATATCTGACATAAAAAATAGTTGAAAAATATATTGATTATGCAAGCAAATAATTTTTGCTAATAAACGATTAATCAAACAATTCCACAGTAACGCTTTTTTAATGTAATACAAGTAAGATAAAAAAAATGTATTTATAGTGCAAACAATTATATTTGTACAAATCATAAACTATCCAAACAAATTTATAGCCAAAAGAAGTACAATAAACTAGTACCAAGAGTAGGAAATTCAATAAGAACAATAAAAAGAAAAAGGCACCAACAACCACCATGATGCTATCTTTCTCTTCTTCCTTTTTGATTTCTCACAAATATTTGAGATAAGCAATCCTAGATTCACCTTTGACTTAAAAAGCAACAACAACAAAAAAAAAAAAAAAAGAAGAAGAAGAAATCAAGTACCCAAAGTCTTTTTTGCAATTCTTCAAGATAGTATTTGATAAGTTGCCTCTAGCAAAATTATTTTTGTTATAAAATTTTTAAAATTAGTATTAATTCAGTCTCAACTTTAGCTAATTTGTGACTAGACTTAGACCTCATCGACAACAAAAATTGATTTAAAATTTTATAATTAAAAATTTATTAAAGCACAAAATTAGAGATTCATCAAATAACTTTAAGATTTTATTTCTTATATATATTAATATATATATATTTTTTGTTTTAGATATTATAGCCTCATGGTGCATGCACTATATATAAAAATTAAAAAAAGGAATCATGTACGATAGCATGTTGATTCCGATACCCAACAGGCAACGGTTTGATACCAGAGTTCAGCATCTTCTGTCCGCTAGTGCACGGTAATAACTCTAGGTTCCCTCTATAAATAACGATACCCGTCCACACCAACCCACCTTTTGCTCTTTCTTTCTCTCTCTAAATCAGCGCACAGTAAATTTAGCCCAATTTTTTCCCACCCTCTAAATTCGCCTTTCTTTGATTCTCTCTTCTCTTGTCGTCCATCGATCCGACTGGTGAGGTTTATTTTTGTAGGGATCGGAGGTGGATTAGGGAAATTGGGGGTGATTAATTGAGGAATTTTGAGGTGAATTATAATTACAAGGATTCGAAGATGTTTTTGTTGGATTGGTTCTACGGAATATTGGCCTCGCTAGGACTGTGGCAAAAGGAGGCTAAGATCTTGTTTCTGGGCCTCGATAATGCCGGCAAAACCACCTTGCTTCATATGTTGAAAGATGAGGTATAACTTTTTCATTCTTTTTCCTCATGCGTACAATATTTGTGGTTCGTTAACTTATATTTGTTGAGATGAATAAAGGAATTTAGCTTTTGTTTACGGGGTTCCTTTGATTCATTGATTTGTTGAGCTGATTTTGTGGGTTTGGTAAAATTGTTGTTGTAATTTAGAGAAATATAGTTGGGAGTGGTGGTAATAGGTTTCCTAAGGTGTTTCACCCGATTAATGCTTATCTTTTTTGGTTCTTGGATTTCGTTGCACGTGGAGAAGGGAATTGTTGAAAGTACTAATTTGATGTAAAGGGATTTTGGATATTGAATGAATTATTTGTATTTTGTGGGCAGAGATTGGTTCAACATCAGCCAACGCAGTACCCGACGTCTGAGGAGCTGAGTATTGGCCAAATTAAGTTTAAGGCTTTTGACTTGGGAGGCCATCAGATCGCTCGCAGAGTCTGGAAAGATTATTATGCCAAGGTATAATTTCTTTTTTCCTCCTTTGTCTACTGGTTTTGGCTGCGATATTAGGTGCAAGATTGAAGCGCAAATCCCATGTATTGGGTTATTGTGTTTTATCTTTGTTAGGTTTTCTATTTTCTTGATCAGATTTTGGGATTATTTCACAAACCTTCCTTGAGGTTTCTGACCATTTCAGTTGGCTTCGTTGTGGTTTGAAATATAGCATTAATTTTAATTTTCATGTAACAAAGTCAGTCCATGTATCTAAATCTAAAAAATGATATAAAAGTATAATAAGCATTTCCATTCCCGAGCTTCCCTTGCATATTAGCATAATAGATTATACATGGACCAGAAAATGGTGTGAAAAACAGTGCTAAATTTTTCACACTCTCTAAAAGCATTTTCACAGCCCTATTTTCACACCCTCCTCTAAATTCGCCTTCCGTTAGATGCATAGTAGCCCAATTTTTATCCCCTTCTGTGTGTTTCCCTTAAGTTCCACTCTAGCATTCACTGATAAGTTTTTTTTCTTGGGGCAAAGTTCTATTTTCTTCAGCATGGAATGCTCTATTTGTGGAGCGAATTTCTTTTGTCGTGTTTCTTTGGCTTCTTTTCCCCCCTGGTTTTTTTCCTTGTCCATCCTTTTAATTTTCGAAGAACCAGGTTTTATAATGTGTCTTTTGCTGGTTGAAGTCTCAATAAAAAACTTGCCTTAATATGCTTCAGATTGTAGTGAACCTTGTTATATGCTTAGCAATGTCTATATACCTACTTCAACAATTTTTATCAGTTTATTCTGAATATTTCAAGGTTGTTCTATTTTTTTCCAGGTTTACATGAAAGTTCCTTTTTTCCCCCAATGGCTGTGCTTTAGTCTAATATACGAGGTGTAGGGGACCTAAGAGAACAATTATTAGTTTGGCATCTAACAGAATGAATGGGAACCATTTATATAGAGGATAAATGAGCTTTCTCTCATTTGCCAAGATGTTTAAGTGCCTTCATTAATCCCAAATGAACGTTTTCTATGTTTATTTGATTCATGGGAGGCCAATATCGATGTGGAAGTTCGCTGATAATACCTTTTATATTCCAGAAGGTGTTTCAATAGTACCTTGCCCGACAAATATTAACTTCGCTGTGAAAATGTTGTTTCTATCTTTTTTATGGGTTTATTTTGTTACCTTTAGAAATTATACCTTAGATTATTAATTATCAGTTCCTAAAGTACTCTTTGTTCCTTTATTTGGCTCTATATGTGGAAAATGAATGCAACAAAGAGTATCACATAGCTTTTTTGAGGGATCTATGATGTTTTATGAAACTTCTCGTGTCTGATGAGGATATAGGTTTATTTTTAATGAAGTTAGAAAATAAACAATTTGGCTAATACAGATGGAAGAAATGGTCTTCTTGATGGCATGCAATACATGAACTGTTTCCGCATATTTGACTTTGAACTGTTATGATCTGGAGTGTATGTTTTAAGCTGTTGAGTGCACTTACAGAAAGTTTTCAAGTTGTCAGGTTCTACTAGCTTGAAGGTTAAAGCAGGTTCTTAGATGCCATATTGCGTTTGCACCTGATTTTGTGGCTTGGACTGCTGACATTTTTCAAGTGTGTAGCACAAAATCTTTTAGGACGCTGTGCAAAATTTAGCATTTCATGATTTGTTTTCTTTTCTAATGTTCTTCTCCTTTGATATTCTGGCTTAGGATATGTCTTCATTTTTTAAGCTTTTATGGTGTTGCTAGATCATATTTGCATGACATATCAAGCATTCCTTTTTCTGGTGGTGATATACTAGTTTCTGTAGCTAGCTTATGTTCATGCACATGTTCTTTTGATAAAAGAGGCAAAGAAAATCTATTGAGTTGTGGATAGGATTGGATTATATCTTGCTTTTGTTTCTCAGGACCTGGCTGATTTGAAGTTGTTGGTTTTTCTATCCCATTTCTGTAGCGGTTTATCTTTGTTATATTCTTGCTTAGGAATACTTTTCAAATTGTAATTGGTCAATACCATGTGTATAACATGCAAATTTGGGTGTGAAGGTGGATGCAGTTGTTTATCTCGTGGATGCTTATGACAAAGAAAGGTTTGCAGAATCAAAGAAAGAGCTGGATGCTCTTCTCTCTGATGAGTCCTTGGCAAATGTCCCTTTCCTTATTCTGGGGAACAAGATAGACATTCCTTATGCAGCTTCTGAGGACGAGCTGCGTTACCACATGGGCCTGACAGGCATCACTACTGGAAAGGGCAAGGTAAACTTGGCAGACTCAAATGTCCGTCCCCTTGAGGTCTTCATGTGCAGCATTGTGCGCAAAATGGGTTATGGAGAAGGCTTCAAATGGATGTCTCAATATATAAAGTAGTGGGCTTTAGTGGGGGGGTGAGAAAGAGAGCTGTTTTTTCTTTTAAAATGTAACTCCTGCCAAAATGGAGTAGAACATGTGTGTCTGGAAGTACTACTGGATATTCTCAGTTTTTGGTGAAATGACATACAGACGTAACTACGTCATTTAGTATTACTATCAATGATTGATGCTTTGTCTATCAGATTTGGAGAGAAGAATGCTGCATTGTTTTTGCCTCTTGTATTTGTTATTGTTCTCGAGGATTTTGTTAGCTTTCCCAAAAAACGGTGGAGGATTCCTGCTTTTTCAGCTGCAAAGTCAACTGTCTGTGTCTACATATTTGCAGCTTGTCTGGTAATATCTGGCCAACGGTACATGTTCCAACCAGTGCGTGGATGAAACACGGCTAGGTGATGTATGTCAGAAATGCTGAGAATTGCTTACCGACAGTGTATCATTTTTGTCATCTGGCTTACAGGAGTCAAGTGCCCTCCTGCTGTGATTTGAGATGGGCACTCTACATCCTTCCCTCCAAGACCACTTGTGAAGAAGCATGGCTGCACTGGATTTCATTTTTTGCTGAGTCATAGTGAAATGAAGTGGCTGGATTCCCGTTAATATTAATGTGAAGAGACACGAATTAATCAATCACCAAATGTATCAATCTTTTCCTGCTTCAGTGACACCTTTTTAAGTGTTTCAGATGAATGATTGAAGAGCCCATGATATCAACTTTTTCCTGTTTAAGCGACACTTGGATGAATGATTGAGGGCTCAAGATATCAACTTTTTCCTGTTTAAGCGACACTTGACTCTTAATTGTTGGAGGTTTTGGGTTGTTTGATATTGGTACATGGCACTAGTTTTTCTTGGGACGTCCTTGTTTCCTACGATAATAGTGGTCTGATTTCTGGTTTTACATCACAACCTATCTCGTCCAAACTCGACGTCAATGCTAAAGGAGCTAACGCTTCTTGATGGAAGTAGGAGAGAAAACAAAGCCCCCGTTTGGCAAGTGAATTTTTTAGGTGTCTGTCCAAAACTTTATTGTAATTTACTGTAGAAGTTATAGAAAAGTTTTTGAAGTGTGTAAATTTTTGAATATTTTGAAGTGTATAGTTTAAAATTTTTTAAAAATTTTTTGAAGTTACTGTAATTAAAGTTGGTAAAAAACTTGTAACAAACGAACTTGGCCAAAAATTTGCTTGCAAACAAGGCCTTGTTGTCCAATTTTATATCGTCCAAGTCTTCTGAGAAGCAAAGTTAATTGCAAATATGGATTTTATAGATGCCCCACTAGCATCAATGGGGATGTAGCTCAGATGGTAGAGCGCTCGCTTAGCATGCGAGAGGTACGGGGATCGATACCCCGCATCTCCATCCTTTTTTATTTCTTAATCAATCTGTGTATGTTTCCTCCCCCTGCTGTGACACACACAACAAAAGATGTCAGAACTAATTCATGACATAAGAATCTTCTGTTGATACTGCTCAAATCAAACCTTATTCTTACCGTCACTTCTGTCAAATTAGAGATTAAAATGTGGTTTTTCCTGCCTCCAAGCCATAGAAATTTAAGAACAAGTAGGAGTTGGTGGCTGCTTACACACCAAACTTAGTGTATTCTTTTCAAATCCTTAATTTGGTCTTACCTGTATTCACTAAAAAAGAGTTGATTGATATCCTTTCTCTTCTTCTACAAGCGATGGTATGTTCACCTTGACCTATCAGATCAGCGCCCTTTATATAATTCAAGAAGATAATCATTATCAAACTGCGCAGTATTTCCTTTGCTGATACCATTCACTACCTCTGCAAATCCTCTTATCTTTTTCATCCTAACTTACTCCTATGGTAGCCTTAAGTTTCTTGAGGAAACAATGCTTCATACTTGCTCTCCTTGCAGTTGCTGCTATCTTTTGTTGCCACTTAGGTAGGTAACTGTTTTAACTCGGAAAAATTGAGAAAAAATTGTTGCACTATATATTACACTTGTGCATGATGAAAATTTTGATGGACCAATCAACAGGATATGCACAGATAAATCCCATGCAAGTTGCTGGCAACGCGCTGCTGTGCTTCGACAACAAACTTGTAGGTGCCTCAGCATAATCATGAACTAGATGTCTAGAACAGGCACTTTCGAGTTCTTCTTCTTCTTTGTTATTATTTGGTTCTGTGTCCTAAATCTTGTTCTGGATCTGAAAACAAAAAAGATATACAGGGGATGTTATAAAGACTATCAGCTAGACCAAAGCGGGGGTCTTTACGTTCCTTGTGAAGCAACAAATAATTATTGCAATGGACCTTGCTTATCTGAGACTAAATCTCTGCTTAAATGCATTGATAGGATGGCATCCAACTTCCTGTTTTTGAACGGGGCCACGACTCAGTTTATCAGAAATGCACTTGATACTGGATGTAATAGATACAGTAATCAAAGAGGTAGATCGTTAATTATGAAGCAAAATCATCTGTACTTGAATTGCGTTTGATAATTGATATCTTCTCTTTGAGCGAGGTAATGAAATTGTTGACCTTTGCATCCCATTTCTGTTCTCTGTCTCTTTTTTTTTTTTTCGCAGAGACGTTTATTGTTGGAGATGATTTGAATAGACTACATGAATCCTGCGGTTTGAATTTCTATAGCAGTGCTCCACCAATCGGGTTTCAACATTATGCTATGTCTTTCATATTAGGAGGGTTTTGCCTGTTACTTTTCCAACATGTTTAAGTCTCAAAAAAACAGCAGGGAGGGGAAGTACAGAGCTGGAAAATGTATTCTAGATTTGTGGACTACAAAGTTATATCAGCTGCATGCACTGGTTTCATCTTTCATGCATTTATCTGAAATCTTCCTATTACTACGTCTATTTTTACATGAGTAGCTTTCTGTGAGAAAATCAACCTTCAAACAGCTTTTCTTCATGTAAAGATCCAGATACTCTTATTCATTTCCATAATCTCATCGGTGGAATAAATATTAAGGTTTGATCATCGAATTTCCGGCCGGCCGAGCGTTGACACTAAGCAAACCATCTTACTCGTTTAACTTTGTAAAATATAGGAAAAAGGATAATGAACTTTACTTAGCAATTTGGTCAAGCTACGTATGCCAAACTACACTCAGCTGGAATTCCTACCTTAGCAGGTGGTATATCATGCATCCCAGCAGTTGTTGACAGATTTGGCACCAAGAAAGCATGAAGTAGCCAGAGTTAGGAGCTGGAATTTCTACTTTGTGCTGGGCTCTACGTAGCTTCTCAGCAACCCTTGAGTACTGTTGGCCCTGCCATGGCCTCAGTCCTGACAAAAAATGCTTTGCTTACAATTAAGAGTTCTGGAGTTCAGAAAACTTGTTATCTATAAGATGCATTCAAATAAAGTATCATTTCTGTGGAGGTATTGATTTATTTTTCAGAATGTGAGAATCTTAATGGGAAAATGATCACACTGCTCTGTAAGTGTTCTCATGAACCTTACCGTATAACAGAAAAAATATGTCACTTTACCTCATGCTGAGAGCCAATACTTTGATCCAATAATACAAGGGGTGATGATCTGAACAGTTTCAAGTCCTTGCAGAATTATTTCCATTAAATTTCATCTAAAGTTTTGAAAGGACTAATATCTTTCTGGACCAGAACTGGCATAGAAGAGGCATCATCTATTATTTTTCTTCACCAATTTTTCTCAAAAGACCAACGGAAATTTGCCTGTTAAACATGCGGCCTTTCATGGTTCTTGAAATTTGAGAGCCTTGTTCCAAAACAAGAAATCTGTACGGCCATCCTGTTTAGAAAGCCGGAATTACTCAGAAACTGGGACAATAAAAGAGCATAATTGTTTCTCTTATGGGCAATAAAATGCTGAAAGAAAACACCAAGTCACCAACAGAGTCAGCAGGACGCTACCGGGAATCATGCATTCTCAAAGACGAAAGCACATAACAATCTGTTTACGAAGTACCTTTGAAGTTATGATGTCGTTTTTGGGGAACTACCTAATCTCAAAAATCTCCAGGGACCGAAAGATTTGGGACATTAAGAGAGCAATATAGCTTGTGAAACTCTATATCCCATAGCCAAGAAGAGGCAGGTTGAGTTCATCAGTTTTCATTGGATAATTGGAAGTTATACGTACATATGGTATTAATCATTACCCACGATGCATATCACCACTGTGGCATGTTACTTCCTTATGACCAAAAAAAAAAAATTCCTCAAGAAGACGACTTGGATAGAAGGATCAAGAGATAATGTTGGAATATTTTATCCAGTCTAGAAGGTTTACCTTCCTTTCAAACGTTTGGGGACAAGTGCGGAAGTTGGTGGCTAATATTACCAAACTCCCTTATTCATATTCCATATGTCTCCATATGTGCTTTTCCTTACAGGTAAGTTGTGTAAAATATCGACTACATATATGTCTTCTTCCATAGAATTTTTCCAAGTGGCATAAATGATTGACAGGAAATCAAAGCATAGAGTAACATCATCTATATTTCCTCCAACCATCCTCTAAATTCCAAAAATAGCATGAAAGTTTGTCCATTTTCCTTATTCTAGCATCCTAACAATGGTCTATTTAATTACATCCATGATAGTCTCAATCTTTTCAGTGAGATCGAGATGCTTCATGCTTTCACTATTTATGGCTATTTCCTGCTGCAACTTAGGTAATAGTGTTTCCTGAACAACTGCAACTGGTTTATCTTTTCTTCGGTTCTCATGTTAGCTGATTTTCCCTCTGTGGACATCTGCCTATGTCCAATAATCCTGAACATTTTTCTTTATACAAACAATCAACAGGGCATACACAGGATGCAAATCAAGACAATAACCCAACCTTTTTGTGCTTCAACAACAAAGTAGTGAGTAACATGTTAATAAAGCATATCTACAAGACCTCCCTGGCTTCCTTTGCCCCCCCCCCCCCTCTCCTTTCTTTTATGTTTTGGTGTGTCTTCTCTTTCTCTAAAGATCAATTGTTATCTGCTGATTAAAGGGGTGAAGGGCTCCCTCTAACTACCTTTTGTTTTCCTTCTGGAATATGACTGAAACAGACTTATATTGGCTGTGATCAAGCAGATAGATTAAACCATAGTGGTGTCATATACATCCCAAGCAACAGTACAGAGAAATTCTGCAAAGGACCTTGCTTTTTGGAGACCAAGCTGCTACTGAAGTGCATTGACAAGTTAGCTCCTAACTATCTATTCGACAATAAAGCCACAACTCAAGACATAAGCAATGCACTTGATTCTGGATGCAGCTGTACTGATCAAAGAGGTAGGTATTAATCTACTAAAGTAGCACGGCATTTCGCTCCAGTTAGCAAATGTAATCAATCAATCATGTCAATTATAATTAAATGATGTTTTGGAGTAATATCCAGTGACACAGATCTGTAGAAGGTTGCAAGTTTATCATTCATAGTTATCTTTGATGTGCAGCTTGCGTACATGGTGGTCTCAGTTATTCAAGCAGAAGTCACTTTACCTTCAGATACCATGCCTTACCCGTCACAGCACTTTCGTTTTTTTGGCTTCTGCATCATCATTAAAAATGTCCAATATGTGGAGTAGCATGTATGCTCTTCTTAAAAGTTTCTATACGTGTAAAACGCTATCACATCAAGAAAATGCACCATATTTATCGCAAACTTCCTTTCATTAATCTTTAGGCAACAGCATCGGCTGCAACCAACCCGGAGTTGATTATGCATACTTACTCCTGTTTTAACTTCTCAGTCAATATACCAAGCAACATCAAGATTCAAATCAGATTCCAATTTTAGACAACATCATTGTCACAGCCCTACCGAATAAAATCACCCTTATACTTCTAGGATTTTTTTCACAGACAGAGAGCGCAGTAGAGAATAAGAACTCACATAATATAGATTGATAAAATCGGATTTTACATAGAGGGAACCTGCACCAGCATTCTTATTACGCAGAACTACAACTACTAAAGATTCACGAGGATATTAATCACTTCATCATTTTATATCTGACTACCATATGCCACAGGCCCCATAATAATATGCAGTTACTTAATCACGTGAAGGCTCACCACCTCCCCGGACGCCAACATTCACCTTCACTGGCTCTTGCTTCACAGCAGCTGTCTCCTTCTCCTCAGTCTTAATGTCTTTAGCTACTGGAACAGCCTGACTTGCAGCAGGAACAGCAGCAGCCTCCTTCTCTGTCTTAATGTCCTTTTTTGTCGTTACAACTGTCGGTTCCTTCTTCGGAGTGGTTGCAGCTGCAGAGCTGGAGGTGTACTTCCTCGAAGAACAGCAACTACTCTTGTATTCCATCTTTTCCTTCTTCAACAGATTTTTCCAATAAAGGGTCACCCAAACTCAAAAATCTCTAGGTCGTACGCTGATGCGATGACAGAATGCTAGTGAATACTATTTATAGAGCTTACGAGGCTCATGGGATTCTTCCTTAAAGGATATAGCATGTCTTCCGCGGAACCAATGCGTCCCAAACTCTTCACTTCTCATGTAAATCTCCCATTAAATTCCATGCAAAGTACTTGTTCATTAATTCTACAATTGTTATGTAATTGGACATGGTTATGCCCCATGCAATGTATAAGATATGCAGGGCTGGTTTTTTTGGGGGGGGGGGGGGGGGGTTGAATTAATTACCAACTGGCGTAGGTGATTTGCCAAGGTTCTCAGATGCAGTCACTCTGATCGTAGTACCATTAAATTTGACCTCGTTTTATGGGATTCAACATCTGTTTGTCAGATAAAATGCACCAGATAGAGATTGGTATGGAAGATGAAGACTCACTTTTTTTTTTCAACTATAATTACTAAACAAGTTCCATATTCTGATTGGAATATAAATGCTCTTCCGGTATATGATCAGCTATATCAAACTTGTGTCATTGAAGGAAATTAAAATTTTGATAAAGACCTTGATCATAAGAGCCACTTTGTATTCTGTTCAGAAGTTCCACACAAAATATAATAGAAACAAAGAAAACGAAATTGTTTCCACCCAATAGGGGGGGGGGGGCAGAAAAGTTATATGGTATGAAAATTTTGGTCAAAAAATGAAAAGTTGGCGAAAAGAGGGCCGACGACAAAGGACATTTTTTTTTTCATCAAATTTGCTACATTATATCTGCTCCCATCTTTGCATATCCAACATTCAAACTATTTTCCAGTTTTGTCCATTCTGCTATTTTACTTTATTATTTTCTTCTGTTGAAAATTTTGTGGAATTACTCGGTCAGTCAAGCAATATTGGCTTCCAATGCCTTTGCTCTTCTGTTCAATCTTTGCTTTTCAAACATTTTGCTCCCAGCAGTTGCGAGTCAAATGGGTCGGACTCACATGCATTGAGGGCCAATCTCTCACGCCTGATCTTCAATTCATCTCATACCTTGCGCCAACTGGCTGTGTTGCCTATGCATCTCTCCATCTGCCATAACTAACAGATCAGATGTTCACAAAAGAGTTCGTCAATTGCACCAGCGAATTACCCAAACATGCTCTGTCCTGGCACCTTAATCACACTGTTTTCTCCCATTAACACTCTCAGCTTCTCAACTTCATCCCAGTCCCCCCTTTCTGCATATATATTTGACAACAGCACATAGTTTCCAGAATTCCAAGGTTCCAGATTAATAAGCTCCTTAACAGCTCTTTCTGCAAGTTCCATATCACCATGAGTTCTGCAAGAACTAAGCAGTGCACCCCATAATCGGGCATTTGGCTTCATTGGCATTGTCTCTATTAGATCAAAGGCCTCTTTTAAGCAACCACTACGTCCAAGAAGATCGACCATGCATCCAAAATGCTCAAGCTTTGGATTTATACTATGCTTTCCAAACATCAAGCTAAACAAGTCCCTACCCCTTTGCAACAATCCCGCATGGACACAACATGCTAAAACTCCCACAAAAGTTGAATCGTTCGGGCTCACACCTTCATCTGTCATCTCATCAAACAATTCAACCCCAAGTTCCCCCTTGCCATTGAAAGCCACACCTGAAATCATTGCATTCCAAGAAACCACATTCTTCCTGGCCATCTTCCTAAATACCAGAAAAGCAGTATTTAGGTCCCCGCACTTGCAATAGAAGTCAACTAGTGCGTTACCGACTGTTACAAAATCTTGAAAGAGACCATTTGACTCGACAAAAGAGTGAATCCACCTACCAACCTCAACTTCCCTCAATCGGCCACAGACCGGCAACATAGTAACCACAGTCGCCTCATCCGGCTCAAACCCACCATCCCGCATTTCATGAAAAAGCTCCAAAGCATCCTTATCCCTCCCAATCTGCGCCAAACACGAAATTATTGTATTCCAAGAGACAACACTCCTCTCATCCATTTGCCTGAACAGCTGAAATCCCATTTTAAAATTTCCAATCTTACAATACCCACGAATCATCAAGTTCCAAACAACCACATCTGAATGAGACATTTCATGAAACACCTTCCTTGCATCATCCATCCTCTCACAACTCGAGTATAGCTCCACAATTCCTATCCTAATAGACCCAAATCTCTCAAACCCAAGAACAAGCACCTCTTTATGAACCGCTTCACCCAATTCAGGGTCACCAAGATTCGTACACGCCTTAAGTAAAGGCGCAAACGTAAACTCATCGGGCATAATGTCGCGGCTTTTCATGGCCGTAAATATATGAAGGGATTTTTTGTAAGGCCCGCATAAGGAGTAGCCCTTCATCATGGAGTTAAAGAGGAGGATATTGGGGTGTTGAAATTGTTGAAAGATAAGGTTGGCATAAGGCATTTTATTGAGGGAGCCGCAGACGGAGACGAAATGGGAGAGGAGCTGGTTGGAGTGGTGGAGATGGTGGCGGAGGAAGTGAGCATGGATTTCAGTGAGGTGGGTTCGGGTTTTCCGGCCGTGCAGAAGGTGGAGGAGCCTCCGCTCCACCGCCTTCCCGCTTCCTCTGTTCATGCGCTATTTCTCGCTCAGCATGATCTGTTAGCGGGAAACGAGGAGAAGGGGGTTGGATTTTGGCGGGAACCTTTTTGGCTTAATTATGTGGAATGCCTTACAATTAATTAATACGACTAACAAAATATTCCAAAAAAAAGAAATAGTTTGTCAACTGAAAAATTCATTTCATTTCCCTCGGAAGCAAAATTCATTATTTAACTCAAAGTCATTATTTTTGAGTCTCTTTTTAATAAAAATATATATATATTATAGTGATAGCATGTAAGGTAAAATAATAATCGATAAATATATCGAGAGGGACTATTCCGATCCTCCAAATATGCTGCTGCATTTGGAGTTCTCGCCGTATTTTTTCATTTGTTTAGCAACTTATTCAACATAACTAGTGGTGGCAAAACACAGGAAATCTACCCTATAAGCAGTTGCTTACCTAATTTTTGCCGAATAGGATTCTTTAGTGTCTGAGGGAATTTATCAACAAATGTTGCAAGAAACTGGACAGATGAATTTTAGAACATTGCTTAGGATGCGTTTCTTTACATACTGTTTTTCTCTGGATTAGTTTTGTGGTAGAAGTTTAAGATAACGCTGCTGTCTCACGGTTACTAACTGCAACGCACAGGAATACATTTCATTAACCTGCAGGCAGTAGCATCTGTGAAGATGATGATTACTCGTGGAAACATATAATAGTTGGCCTGAATTTTTGAAGCAGGAAAGGGCAAGAGAGTTGCTCAAAAGATTGCATTTGATTTGTATAGCAGCAGGGCAAAAGTCAAACACAAATCAGCCCAACAAAATCCTACCAAGCGCAGGCTGATATTTTGACAACTCAAGTTACATTCGGATTTGCTGTCTGTTAAACTAGAATTAGACAATCTCATAGAACACCCTCCTTTGCCAACCCAGCTAGTTTGCAGACCAAGTTGCACAGGCTTTCCATGACAAAACCTTCAATTTTGTACAATCAGAGCAGTTCAAAAGCAAGACAAAGAAGCTCAAAAGGAATACATCAGATGAAGGTGATATAAACAGGCAAACGAATCATGCGCACCATCACTTTTTGGTAGATCGAAATCCCCCAAAGCCCATCATAGCCGCAACATCAGGATCTAATTCAGGTTCCTCTTCTACAGCCTTCTCTTTCTGAGTAGAACAAATCAGCATGCACCATAAGCTCATGACGGGTCAGAACCAAATGAGTAATAAGCAGTAGACTACAGAAATTCAAGTACAAACCTTCTTCTCTTTCTTTTTTTCACGGCGCTGGCGCTTCCTTTCCTCCTCTTCTTGCTGCTGCTTCAAGATTCTCTCATCAAAGTCTACAAAGGAAACAATCAATAATGAGTCTGACAATCATAATTCATGTATAATAACTAAGAGAAACACGTTTTACTCAATACTTTAACATCAATTAGTAATTATTTAAATATTACCTTGCTCAGTAAACCCTACAGTGTCTTTCCGTTTCTTGAGAAGCTCGAACCGCTGCTGGACCTGTTATATGTATTCTCAGCACTTGCATTAGAAGCCAAAACCTTCATTCCAGTTCCAGAAAAACTTACAAGATTAAAATCATTTCCTAGGAATGGCAAACAAGAGCACTACATGAATAGGCCTGCTAATAGCCTTTCCAGAGCATGGCATGTCAATTGGCATACTTCGGCTCAAAACAAAACGTCTGTGCACATAAATCTTATGGGAAAAAATAGTAGTAGTTGCAGTTTCAACCTATATTTACCCAGAGATGAATCCAAACATAATATCGACATCAACCACACAACTGAGAGAAGTCCAAAAACTGCATCTTCAGTTAATGCTGCAAACTTGCACCCCTTATCAAACTAAACATTTATCAGTTGTCTTCATAGCAGATCAATAATGTTTTCAAATTTGTACAGAATAACATTAAGCAGTTGATCTTTGTTATTTCTTTTCTTTGCACATACCAACTCTTTCAAAACAGTTTATAACATCTAGTGGCAAAGTATGATAAAAATCAGCCACCAAAGATGGTCTCAATCACAAACCTGGCAACCCCCTATCTTCTCCAATCCCCTTCCCCTTTCCCCATTGGACAAAAGCCAAATTATTTCTTTTCTAAAACACAAGACAAAAAATGACTAAGAAGTTGAAGGACAGATTGCACAAGCTTACCTGCTCCAGGGATGCCCGCTCCACCCGCATAGACATACCCAGAGCTCGTTGATCTAAAAGGAAAAACAATAGCACATTAATTGACAGAAATAATGTCCAAAAGGGACAGTTTGAACACACATGGAACACATACGCTTCTTCCCATTAATATGGTCCAAGTAATTTGCTGAATCTTTTACTACACATTCACAAACCGAGCAGTAGTATCCTGCCTGCAATACAACAATCTCTGTCATGAAAATCCAAGGTAAAAAATTACTAATGTATGAAAAAGGATAGGAACTATTAAGAGTTTGAGAAACAAAAACATGCATATACTACTTCATAGATAACCATGAAACCCTCATACAGTACAACACATGGACTAATTAACAATAAATTGTGATCCAGTTTCATGTAATCCTTTCATTGTATTAATGCCTTGGCATATCTGAAGTTCTTTTCCAAGGACATTAGGAAAATAGTTGTATGTCAGATCCAACCCTTACAAAGGAATGTGATGATGCTAGTGAAAGTCAGCCTAGAGATTACCTGTTGGCTTAGGGGTGCAACCGGAGTGACAACCTGCCATAAAATGCACAGACAGAAGGCATTAGCACTGTGAAAACCAAGTGAGGAGCTACAGAAGGTTAGAAACGCAGTTCATTTTCAACTCAAGGTTGTATAACATATTGTCAATGGAAGCAACATGATAAAATAAGGCAAACCTAGTACACAGAAATGTCAGCCCCAAATCCTAAAATATAACAGCATATACGAACCCATTAAATTGTTCTAACATGTGATACTTCTATCTCAGCCCTATATCTACATCAACTGAATGTTTTTACTTAGCTGTGACGAACAAACAGATAAAAAGCAGCCATCAACCGACCATATGGGAGACCACCAAAGCAGCCACTGAATCTTTTAACATAACTTTAAGCAGTTGCATCGAGAAAGTAAAGATTTTCAGCATGCAACTCGAACACAAGATGGACAACAGCTGATAAATACCTCTTCAGATTATATTTAACAACTCCTAATGTCCACTAAAGCAGATCATTAGACCTACAGCTCATCATGATTCATGCTCAACGCAAGTGAAGAACGCGAGTTAGTAACATAACCTACACCAATAACTTCAAAGCCCAAGTAGCAGCAAGAATACAAGCCCAAGATCCTCTTGATTTCAACAAAACAATCAATTACAAAGAGAACTTAAGGACACTAACCTGAGTCTTTCCTAATCGAGATTCAAGGTCGACTTGATAATCTCTGTGCTTCAAGGGTTTCCTCTGCACTGGTGGACCTTTGGCTGCACATGAAAACTTTCAAGTTCAGCACCTAAAACCAATAAATTGGAATGGAATGCCACTATCTAAACCAAGTGCAGAAGAATTGAAAAAGCCAAATGTGCATCAGCACATTGTACTCAACAAACAGCCGACTGAAAACAAAATCATAATAGCTGTATATTTTCATATTTTTTTTGGCAAATTCGGCTGAACCAACTCCTTTCTCACAGCTGAAGAACAGGAAAGCTAAATAATCTTACATTTTTTGAACTTCGTCTCTGCCTCCTACAGTAAAAGACAAAAAAAAAAAAAAAAACTTTATTCGAGAAATCAAAAAGAAAAAACCCCCAAAAATAGGAAAAAAACCAGGAGAACCTTTTCTTCACGTTCGCGAGCACGTTGCAAATACTCTTCTCGATCGAATTTCTTGCGGAAAGTGTTGTCAACTCCAGCGACCTGCCCCAAAAAAAAATCATCAAAATATGAAATATTTTTAAAAAATCCATTAAAATAACTAACTTAAATTACATGACAGGGTCCAATAATTTGTTTGCAAGTAAACAAACTTGATAAGGTTTTGAACTTACGCTATTATTAGATTGAGCCATTGCTCTGGATGCTTCAGAGATGTAAAGCTGCTTCGGACTATGAATTAATCACCAGGTACAGCAACTTAAATTGAAAATGAAGTTGCTAAACTATCTTCCTTTTTCAAGAAAAAAACCCTAATTTTCAAATTACAGGAGTACTATAAACCCTAATTTCACATTTGAATTCAGACGGAACACTCGGGGGAAAATTGGGGAATTAGAGGAGGAGGAGGATGAGGCAGTACAAATTTGGAGAAAAAAAAA